GTGTGGAGTCACCATTTAACGTTATAATGGCACTGAAAAAAGTGACTTATGACCATTTTTCACACTTACGACTGTTGCAGCATCCCGTCATGAGAGGCCAGGCGAGGGAGATGTGTGCCTCGATGTGAGTGATATTGAGTTGGCCACACCCAGCCAATAACATGGCCACCAAGCCATGTCCTCCCAGTAACATGACCACCAAGCCATGACCACCACCTACGCCATGCCTACAGAACCGGTTGTCAAAAATTTGAATCCCTATGTAATCCATCACCCCCCCTGCCCAAGCACGAGATCCTACACCATTTCTGATAGATGGCAGTCCAGTCTCTTCTTGAAAGCTTCCAGTGATGAAGCTCCCACAGCTTCTGAAGGCAAGCTGTTCCATTGGTTGTTCTCAGAAAATTTCTCCTTATTTCTAAATTGAAATCTAGGTTGATTAGTCATACCCAAATTCAGCAACTGTTCATGTTTTAGTCCCCAAGCCTTTGATCACCTTAGTTGTTCTCCAAACTTTTTCCAAAATCTCAATACCTTTTTTGCAGTGTGGTGACCAAAATTAGTTGCAGTATTCCAGGTGTGCACTTACTAAAACTTTATAAAGTGGTACTGATACTTCATGAGATTTTGATTCTATCCCTTTGCCTGTACATACAAATATTTTGGAGAGGATTTTCACTTGCAATCAAACTTGTGCATAAACACTACATGAGGAAAAAAAATAGTTGCTACATGTTTAAAGAAGGTCACTATTTTCAACACAACTAGAGCTAAAATGAATATACAGAGATACATTTTCCCTTTCTTAATTTGGGTAAACCAGCTCTTCATAAAGCCTGGAGACTGATCCCATACTCACTTCAGATGTTGATTCTGCTTAAATAAAACAGTTTCTGACCAAGCCGAGGTTGTGAGGTTTTGGAGCAGTGAGAGCGGCAATTGTTTAACAGATCTTTTTGTGCGAGACCTTCACTGAATACGTAATACCTCTGGAATTAAAAAATCTATTTTGGGAGCTTCCCCAAATCCATATATTTTATTCAGTTGCTCCTGTGGCGATATTCTGAAAGAAGGAAGACTGTTCACCTCATTTTTCCACAGATGTTATTCTTTTTACACTCCATATCTTTAGAAGAGGGGTGTGAAACTTAATTTGATTCAGGACTGGATCAGTACCCCAGGGGGCGGAGGTGAAGGTGTGACCGGAAGAAGGGGGGAGCGACCGACTGGGTGTGGCCAGAGTGCATGGCCGGCTTGGTGCAGCTCCCTTGGATGGTGCCTGTGTGGGCTGGGCAGGGTTGGGGAGGGAATCCAGGGGTCTCTGATGGGTAGGGTGGGAGGTGGGAGGCTTGTCCAGCAGAGTATAAGTTTTTTTTTAAAAAAATACACATTTTTCTTTAACATACATGTGCTTAGTAAACAGTATATTGTCCTGGTCAATTTACTTGTACATAATAATAGTAATGTTATTATTATTCACTTATATCCAGTAATATTCTTCCAACTTCTAATTATTACGTCCAATGTCTAAGCATTGATAAAACAAATCACATGCTAAAAATATTCTGTGTCCTCTTTGTCCTATTTTGTTAACCTATCCATTTCTGCACAATCTAGTGTTTTTCTAGTTATATTTTAATCTGTAGGAGTTTCCTCATTCTTCCATTGTTGTGCAGATACAATTCTCGCTGCTGTCAAGACATGTAGTATTAAATATATGTTCCCTTTGTCATATTTTTCTGGTATTATAGCTACCAAAAACATTTCTGGCTTTAAATCTATATGTTGTTTTCTTCAACTATGTGTGTATTTTCATCCATTTTTTCCCTTTGAGCATGTACCACATATGGTAATAACAGCCTTGTATCTGATTATATTTCCAACATTTGGCGGACATGTTTTAAACATCTTTGCCAGCATTGCCAGTGGCAAATGCTACCTATAAAACATTTTATACAGGTTTTCCTTATAGGTAGTTGGCATTGTCAATATATAATTTTTTTTCCAAAAAGTTTTTTATTTTAATATACAATAACATCATTCCAATTCAACCGTGTGTTGACTAGGTACATATTTCTTGTGCTTACAATTATAGCTAATACTTTTCTTACCAATATAACAGTAATCACATCTAATCCATTTTATTTTCTAACCATTTATAAAATAAATCCCATACCATATAATATCCCATTTCTTTTTTTTTATTACCAATGTTAACTTATTCATTTCTGCACATTCAAATATTTTCTCAATTAGTTTTTCCTCTATTGACAACGTTTTTCCAATTCTGAGCAAATAAAATTCTAGCTGCTGTTAATACATGTATAATTAAATATGTTTTTTCTTTACTGTAACCTTCAGGTACCATTCCTAATAAAAATATTTCAGGTTTCAAATCTGTGTTGTTTTATCATTTGTTCCAACCATGTGTGTACTTTTGTCCAATATCTTTTAGCTTCTATACAAGATCACCACATATGGTAGTATGTTTCTGGTGTTTGACGCCACTTCCAGCATTTGGCTGATTTATCTTTAAACAACTTAGCTAATTTTGCTAGTACAAAATACCATCTATAAAACATCTTATACAAGTTTTCTTTGTAAGCTGTTGATATTGTTAATTTATAGTTTCTATCCCATAGCTTCTGCCATTTATCTAGTTCTATGATATATCAAAAAAATTTTTGCCCATGCTATTGTTTAACTCGCTCTTCTTCTAATTTAACATCTAATATCTTTTAATCAGCTCATCTTTTGTTCAATTCTGTCAACTCCTTCAGCTTTAATATTTTTCATATCTTGATTGTATTTGCGTGTACAAATACTAATGCATTTCCAACCCTTGTTCATTCAATTCTTGTTTTGTTTTGATCTCACCCTCTGGCAATAGTTTCCATTTTACAAACATTTGGGTGTATAAGTGCTTCCATTCTTAACAACCAGACTGGTATCTTCATATAATGTTATTCTCTAGTTTTTTCTCATGCTCGTAACAATGCATTCCTGACCATATGCCTTTGAAAATACCCATTTATTTGGGAAAAATTGCAACTATCATTGATTGGGAGAATATCCACAATTAAGATGAACATTTTGCCTAGAGTTTTATATTTATTCCAGACAATTCCTATTCAATTAGGGAAAGAATTTTTTGCAGATTTAAATAGAATTGTGTTGAAATATATTTGGCAGGGTAAAAAAGCAAGAGTAAAATTAAAGCTGTTACAAGATGTAAGAATAATGCCCAGCGCCCAATTGGGAGCTGTATTACCAGGCAACAAGTTTGATGTGGGTACAGGAATGGATAACACTAAGAAACAGTAGATTATTGACTTTAGAAGGCCACGACTTGCTGCTGGGATGGCATGCCTTTCTCTGGTATAAGGGAACTAAATGGGTATTTTAGAAGACATTATACTAGTAAGGCATTGTTTTTGAGCTGAGAGAAGATTAAAAGACAGTATTACTTAAAAAATCCAACATGGATATCAACTATTGAAGCTTTTTCTTATCCAATAATATATAAAAAGGAACAAATGGTTAGATATGGGGAGTTACTGAATGAAAAGGGTGAACAAGAACAAGGTGTAAAAATGAATTGGTTTTCTTATTTGCAAATACAATCTAGGTTTGATAGCGACTCCAAGGCAGAAGATATTTATGATAAGTTGACTGACTTAAATAAAATTTTGATGAGTACTGATGAAAAGGTAATTTAAAAAACTTTATGGATACTTATTAGAATTTAAATTGGAGGAGGAGCAAGTTAAAGAAACAATGATTGCTTGGGGAAATTTTGGATATGGGATTGATTTGGAAAAATGGCAAAAATTGTGGTCTCAAAATTATAAAATGACAATTTCAACTGCATATAAAGAAAATTTGTATAAGATGTTTTACAGCACTTACCCCGATGAGACTTGTGAGAATGTTTAAGAAGAAATCGGATAAATGCTGGAAATGTCATCAGATACCTGGTTCATATTGCCATATGTGGTGGACATGTTCAGACGCAAAGAAATATTGGACTAAAATCCACACATGGTTGGAAAAAATGATAAAACAGAATATAGATTTTAAACCAGAGATCTTTTTAGTGGGAGTCATACCAGACATATATAATAAAGAACTGAAATATTTGATTGTAAATGTCTTAACAGCAGCTAGAATTGTATTTGCGAAGAACTGGAAAAATGACAAAATACCTATGCAGGAGTTATCAAAAAAATTATGGACTGTGCTGAAATGAGTAAACTGACATTTGAAATTAGAGAACTGACATTTGAAATTAGAGAACAAGAAGATAAGCAATTTTATACGATATGGGATTTGTTTTATCAATGGTTAGATAAAAAGGCATGGTAATAGACTAGAAAATTTTGTGATAGAAATCTAATAGATATAAAACATAATACAAATATACTGTATATAACTGGTTGAAAGTATAACATAATTTTTAAGATAAAATGTGGAATATCTCGTATAAAATGATGGAATAAATAGTTTAGTCATGATGATTAATAACTGATAAATATATAACCCTATGTTAATTTGACAATGTGAAGATTGATATAAATTGTGAGTAAATGACTACAAAAGCATAGCACAAAAGATACGTAACCAACTGACACACTGAATGTATATAAAATGGAAGAGGAATTTGTTTTTATGTTTTTGTATGTGTGTTTGTGTTTAAAAATAAAAAACTATCTACAAAAAAGAAGAAAAAACCATTTATTTTGCTTCTCCCATAGCACAAAAATGCATGCCAACCCATTTGCAAATCATATCCCTCCAATGTTAACAACCTTTTATTTCTCAAAGTTATCCATTCTTTCATCCAGGTTTATGCCGTGGCCTGATAATACTGTATATTTCCCAATTAGGTAACCCAAACCCTCCTCTAGTTCTAACATCCTGTAACATTTTTATGTTAATTCTAGCTTTCTTCCCTTGCCATATATATTTCAATACTATTTTATTAATATCTTCAAAATATTTTTTCCAAAGCTTATTGGAATTTTTTGATACAAATAGAACACTTTGGATAATATATTAATCTTAATTGCCACAATTCTTCCTGTTAATGACAATTGCATATTACCCCATTTTTCTGTCTTAATTTGTTGTTTAAGTTTGTAATAGTTAACTTCTTTGATTGTTCCACATCTTGCTGTCAACTGAGTTCCTAAATATTGAACTGTCTTTCCTTATAGGTAGTTGCCATTGTCAATTTATAATTTCTATCCTCAACTTTTTGCCATACTATCATTATTTCTCTCACTTGTTCATCTTCCATTTTAAGATTTAATAGAAAACTATATATTTTCTTTATTAATTCTACATCCATTGCAAATAGTATCTGACCAAGTGTTCTTGGCTCTTTATAGAGACCATGTGTCTTTTCATCTTTCTCATATCTCGATTGTATTTGCAGGTATAGCAACCATGCCAGCTCCACACCTTGTTTTGTTTTTAATTCCCCTTCCTCGTTCAGAATATCTTTGTTACAATTTTTGCCAAATTTACAACATTTGGGTGCATCAGTGCTTCCATTGTGGAAAACCAAACTGGTATTTGCATATAGTTTTTTGCCTTAACTTTTTCCAATACTAAGAGTAGAGTGTTTCTTCCATAGTGCCTTTGAAAATATCTATGTATTTTATTCTTTTCATACCACAAAAAGGCATGCCATCCCAATTGCAGATCATGTCCCCTCAACAGTAGTAGTCTTCTATGTCTTTAGATTTATCCATTCTTTAACCCAAGTTAGTACGGAAGCCTGGTAATAAAGCTCCCAATACAGCAACCCAAACCCATTGTTGTTTTTAGATTCTTACAGCATTTTCCATCTTATTTTTGCTGGGTTTTTTTGTATAACATATTTCAAGATTATTGTATTTAGCTCATCAAAGTATTTTTTCTCTAATTATATAGGGATCGTTTGGGACAAAAAAAGTACCTTCGGCAAGATGTTAATTTCTATGATTGGTAATCTTCCTCTCATTGACAGTTGCAAGGTTTTTCAGTTCTCCAAGTCCAATTTGATCTCTTGTGTTAATCTTTTATAGTTACCTTCTTGAATTGTTGCACATCTTGCTGTTAAGTATATTTCCAAATATTTATCTTGACTACCTGAAGGTCTATATTTTTGTCAATTCATATTTCTGTTTATCTGTAAGGGAAATAAGTTGATTGCTGTACACAGGATATTTTTCTGCCCACTATGGATTCTTTCTTGAGAAGCATTCTGTTTTCACAAAAGCTCCTTCTGCATTCCATATATTTCTATTTCCCTCTGCTGTGGATCCTCTTATGGGAAGTAAGGTGACTTATAAAACTGAAGATCTCCCCACATTCCAGGCATTTATAGGGTTTCTCTTCTGTGTGGAACCTTTTATGGGATGTTAAAGTTCTACTGGCAGCGAAGGTCTTTCCACACTCTGTGCACTTATAAGGTTTTTCTCCTGTATGGCTCCTATTATGGAAATTAAGTTCACTGCTTCGGCGGAAGCTCTTCCCACACTCTAGACATTTATAGGGTTTCTCTCCTGTGTGAATCTTTTCATGACAAGAAAGGTAACCCTTGGTAGTGAAGCTCTTTCCACACTCCAGACATGTATAGGGTTTCTCTCCCGTGTGGGCCCGTTTATGGAGGATGAGGTAACTACTGTTTTTATAGCTCTTTCCACACTCCATGCATGTATAGGGTTTTTCTCCTGTGTGGACCCGTTTATGGGAAGAAAGGGCACAGCTTTGCTTGAAGCCCTTCCCACACTCTAGGCATTTATAGGGTTTTTCTCCTGTGTGGATCCGTTTATGAGAAGTGAGAGAACTCCTTACACTGAAGCTCTTTCCACACTCTGTGCATTCATAAGGTTTTTCTCCTGTGTGGATCCGTTTATGGGAAATAAGCTCACCAATACGTCTGAAGCCCCTCCCACACTCTAGGCATTTATAGGGTTTTTCTCCTGTGTGGATCCGTGTATGACAATTGAAAGCATTGCTTCCGCTGAAGCTCTTTCCACACTCCATGCATTTATAGGGTTTTTCTCCTGTATGTATCCTTTTATGGAACATAAGGGAACACGTCGTTCTGAACCTTTCCCCACAATACACACAGTTATAAGGTTTTTCCCCTGAATGGATTGTTCTATGGCACCTCAGGTAATTGCTAGTTGAGAAACTCTTCCCACACTCTATGCATTTGTAGGGTTTTTCTCCAGTGTGCATCCGTTTATGAGCAGTAAGAGACTTCTTTACACTGAAGCTCCTTCCACACTCCATGCATTTATAGGGCTTTTCTCCTGTGTGGATCCGTTTATGATAATGAAGAGCACTGTTTCCCCCGAAGCTCTTTCCACACTCCATGCATTTATAGGGTTTTTCTCCTGTGTG